GCAGAAATGTTTGACTTAATTTGAGTCAAATGTTCAGACTAACAAGACAAATAATCTTACACATTCTGAAAACAAGATGATTATTCTTACACAATCAGTTCTTGTTTAGTAAATCAGTCTCAAAACAAGATCAAAAAGACTTTTTGGCTGATATAAGAGTTTAATACTTGGTTAGGTGGACAGTTTTTGCAGTGTAAAATGCTACTGTTTATGGGGAATCTTTTTCAGTTTTGTGCTAAATTTGTCTAAAAGTCACAGAACACTTTTCCCAATGTTGCTGCACATTTTTATGGTTCTGTATGTAAGGTTCTGCATCATTTTTTTAAACAATCCAACATGAGTACACATTACCTGGAACATGGTACTTTAATGCAGCTGGCAGTCACTGGTTCAGCATGAGCAATTTGTCACTTCTTACAGAAATCTGCTCAGTATAAATGAACTGAAGCTTCCAGACAGACATTAATGTTTATAAAAGCCATGTAAAAGCCTGTTGTGCCTCAGTAGGCTGTAGAGCTTGAGGAAAGCCTTGCCACAGACTACGCAGACATAAGGTCTCTCCCCTGAGTGTATTCGAGAGTGTGCAGTGAGATCACCTGATCTAACAAAGCCTCGTCCACACACGTCACATCGAAAAGGCCTCTCCGTAGTGTGGTGAAAGAGAACGTGACTCTTCACTTCACCCATTGATCTGAAAGTTTTGTCACACTCGGCTGTCGTGCATTTAAAAGGTCTCTCTCCTGTGTGAATTAATTTATGTCTGGCCATCGCTGACAACGATACCATCTTCTCACAGTAGGGGCATGGATGACGAAACAGCTCGTTTAAATGTTTGCTCCTCTCGTGTTTTTTCAGGGCTCCCCTTTCTTTAAAGGATGTGTCACACTGAGAACAGGCGTACTTCTTTTCGCTTCCAGATGCGCTGTGGACGTGTCTCAGGTGCCGCAGTAGGTTGGACTTCTGGGAGAATGTCTTACCGCAGTCCGAACACAGGTATGGTTTTTCTCTGGTGTGGACCCTTTCGTGGGACACGAGATCTCCATCAGATCTGAACTTCAGGTTGCACTGGGTGCACTGAAACGGCAGGTGACCCGTGTGCTTCCATTCGTGTTTGATTAAAAAGCGCAACTTGGAAAAAGTTTTGGGACAATGGTTGCAGTTAAACGGCTGGCTGATTCTGTGAACGTTCTCGCAGTGCCGAAGCAAGGGCCTGAAGATGGTGAAGGAGAGATCGCAGCGGGGACACTTAAACGGTGTGTGGGAGGTTTTGTGCCTAGCCAGAGCCGTGGCGTCTCGTAACACCCTCCGACACACGCCGCAGTACAGCTCATGGTGGGTCATCATGTGTTTCTGTAAAGAAACCTTGTACCTAAACTCKGTTCCACATTGGTCACATTTGCAAATGCTCTGAGTTTTGTCAGACGGATCTGGATCTGCACTCTGCTGCAGGTAGTCGAAGCAGGTCTTCTTCAGATGCTGCAGGAGAGAAGTCAGGAGTTCGTACCTGGTGTCACACTGAGGACAGGCATAGTTTTTGTTGGGAAAGTGTATTTTTTTGATGTGAGTTCTGAGGTTCGTGTTTATGTTCTCTTTGCAGAAAAAACATAGGGAACTCCGAGGCTTTTTTGGAATGTTTTCGTTCACATTGGACTTTTGTCTCAGAGCAGAGGTGTTTTCACAGGCTTCACTGTTTGAGGAGCTTTCAGCAGAATCACTAACGAAGGAAGAACTGGCCTGATCTGAATAGAAGGACCACGAATCAGCCACACTGGAAGTCCTGCTATTAGCGTGACATGAGTTATCCGAGTAGTAAGACCACGAGTCATCTTCACTACATGTGCTAATAGGAGCCAAATGTGAAGAGTCCACAGTGACATTCGACACTCTGAGTGAAAGTTTGCTCGATGGTTCTAAATTCTGGGAAGCAAACTCGTAGTCAGACTCGTTCTCATTATCAAGTTCTCTTTTCTCTTCCTGCAGAATCTTTTTCATCCTGACTCCTCTATTCGCTCTCACAAATCGAGAGATCGTGGATGCCGACCTGTCAAGTCTTTTAAGCTTAACGTAACACTCCCTAATAAGGCCTGATGTAGACACTCCTTGGCTTTCAAGGACATTTTCATCAGGTCCTCTTTGATCATCCGAAAGCATCTGTGTTTTGTTTTTCCCAAGAGTTAAATCATTTCTGTCCATTGTTGTCTCACCAGTCAAATGCTCCAAGTCTGTATTTGAGTCTATCCAAACCGTAGTTACAGAGTCCTCTTCCACAGGTGACACCCACGATGGCACAACGTCCAAAATACTCTTCTGTGGTTGAGTTTCAAGTGTCTCAGTTTGTAGAAAGAGATGTTTAAGAGCAGAAATGATGCAGGGACGATCAAGAAACAAGTCTGAAATGAAAAGAAAAGTACTTGTAAAGACATTGATAATGTTGGATTTTTACAATTTTTCTTCCACAGTGGACAAGTTTTTGTCTAAACCCATCTTGGAAAGACAGCTGAAGTAAAATCTTGTGCAGATGTAAAAAATCTATTTCCTGGTATTAACATGCAGATATGTTAAACAACTTAGGATATATCACCGTTTGTAATACATCACAGCATTTTTATGTGAGCAAAAGTAAAAGGAACAAATAATTTTAAAGTAAATGACATTTAATATTTGGTGGTATAAGCCATCAACACCAAACTTGTTTTTTTTTTCCTTTGCTTGGCTTTAGAGGAGACGGACACTTTTTTTGCTCTCTCCTGAACCTGTCCCCTCATATCCTGCTTTGCAGCTTTTTCAAGCCTTTTTTCACCTACCATCCAAAACAAAAAGGAATTATGGATTTGGTCAACTGGTCTCTGAACACAATTGATGATTTTTTTCACATTGAGATTGGATCGAGGGGAACGAAGCTGTCCGAGTGGAACGGTTGCTGCTGGTCGTATCAGTGGTTCCTGGGGGGCTTGGAACTTGATGTGTTTCGTACCACTTTCCATTGAAAACGTGAAAGATTTGTATATATTTGGATTCATGATAACTGGATTTCTGCTGATCAGAGGAGGCGGGGTCACGATCTATCAAAAAGTGAAAGCGACCCTAACAGTGGTCCGGGACGTTGAGAAGCTGTTGGGCATGTTGGAAGGATTGTGCCGGGCTGGGAGAACACAGACTCAGCAGCTGGGGGAGCTAAACTTCAAACTGGATGTGGTTCTAATGAGGATTGCAGCCTCTGGCATGTAGGATTACATCTGGGTGAAGCTTCAGTCGGTGAAGAGGCAAGAGATCCCGAAATGTGGCTGATTGAAGTTTTTTGCGCCACTTTCAGAAATGCAGTTAGGACACTAAAAACAGCTGAAATTTCAAGGCTGTTTTGTCCCAAACTATTGTGTTTATCTATTCAGTTCCCAGCAGCTTGGCCTTGATTGCCATGCTTATCTAAAACTCCCCAGGATGATATGTCGAGGGCTGGATTCCCTCACCCCACCCCATCACCCATGTTGGAACTGGCCGAGGCCGAGGAGGAGGAGACTCTGACCTCTGGAGAGCCGAGCTAAATAATATAATGTGACTCTGGACTCTGAGGGGGCTATGGTCGGTCCTAGTTTGGAGACCTCAACGTCACCAACTCCACTGATCCCCGCTCCCATCTCATGTGTTATTTGACCTAAGCTCCCTCCCTGCCCCAGGCTGTCTTGCCCTATCGCCAGTCATTTTTTGTGCATATGGCCCTGTGTTTCTGATGTAAACATAGGATCAGAGCAAGTTTTTTAAAATCAACCTTCCTATTGTGTATTTCCAGCTGCTAAAATAGGTAGTGTGACCTGGTTGTCACATGACCTGTTCCCCCATGTTTTGTTATGTGTCTTTYCTTGAATGGGTGATCTTAACTGCAATTTCGTTCTACATTGCATCCCTGATGTTATGTTTGAATGACAATAAACAGAATTCTGATTCTTCATTTGTGATGCTGTTCCAGGTTTTTACAGCGGCTTCTCTCACTTGTTTGTTTTGGGGGGTTTCTCCCTTCAGTCTCCTCTTCAGGAGGTGAAATGCTCTATTGGGTAGACATCTTCTGTAAGTTTGGTGTCCATTTCCACTCTTATGCGACGACACTCAGTTCTACATTTCAACAAAACCGAACTCCACCCTCTCATCCTCCACTCTTACCGACTGCCTCAGTGAGCTCAACAACTGGTTCTCCAATAATTTCCTACAACTAAACCATAACAAAACTGAACTCCTCCTTGTTGGGACAAAAAACACCATTTCCAAATCTCAACATCTTCTCTTCACACTTAACAACTCCGTTCTTACCCCCTCGCCTCAGGTCAAGAACCTCGGTGTCATCCTTGACACCGCACTCTCTTTCACATCCCACATTAACGTGACTCGATCTGCCTACTTTCATCTTCTCAACATTAACCGTCTCCGTCCTTCACTCACCCCCAGCTCCACTGCCAACCTTGTACACAGCCTGGTAACATCCAGGATCGACTACTGCAACTCCCTACTGTTTGGTCTCCCCAATAAATCCCTTCACAAACTACAGATGGTTCAGAACTCAGCAGCCCGTGTAATCACTCAAACCTCATCCTCTGCCCACATCACTCCAGTCCTACAACAGCTCCACTGGCTCCCAGTTAAACCCCACATCACTCCAGTCCTACAACAGCTCCACTGGCTCCCAGTTAAATCCTGCATCATCTTTAAAATTCTCCTACACACCTTCAAAACTATCCATAATCTTTCACCTCCTTACCTGTCTGACCTCCTGAACATCTCCACACCCTCCCGCTCTCTAACATCTGCCTCTTCCCTCCAACTCTCAGTAACCCCTGCCCGCCTCAGCACCATGGGGAGCAGAGCTTTCAGCTCTGGAACTCACTACCCCATGGATTACGTAATTCCACCTCTCTCTCCCTGTTTAAGACTGGCCTGAAGACACATCTTTTCAGATTAGCCTACCATTGCTTACTCAGATTRACTGGTCATTGTACCTAAATATACAGGTCCTTCTCAAAAAATTAGCATATTGTGATAAAGTTCATTATTTTCTGTAATGTACTGATAAACATTAAACTTTCATAACTTTTAGATTCATTGCACATCAACTGAAGTAGTTCAAGCCTTTTATTGTTTTAAAATTGATGATTTTGGCAAAAAAGTAAAGAAAAATCAAAAATCCCTATCTCAAAAAATTAGCATATTTCATCCGACCAATAAAAGAAAAGTGTTTTTAATACAAAAAAAAGTCAACCTTCAAATAATTATGTTYAGTTCTGCACTCAATACTTGGTGGGGAATCCTTTTGCAGAAATGACTGCTTCAATGTGGCGTGGCATGGAGGCAATCAGCCTGTGGCTCTGCTGAGGTGTTATGGAGGCCCAGGATGCTTCGATAGCAGCCTTAAGCTCAGAGTGTTGGGTCTTGTGTCTTTAGCTCATCCAGAGTGTTGGGTCTTGTGTCTTTAGCTTAAGCTCATCCAGAGTGTTGGGTCTTGTGTCTTGGGTCTTAAGCTCATCCAGAGTGTTGGGTC